TGCTGGAAATGAGCACATATTTACTGTACACCCGCTTTCAATGAAGATTAGGCTATTTAACTTTAATAATAGTTAGACTAACATCCTATGTCCATACAGACTCACTCTCATTTTAGTGGGCTTCGCCCAATTATTTGAATTAAATCGACAAAAAATAGCCACAGCAACTACAAAATGATTGAAATCATATTCAGCTGCAGTTTAATACATTTATAATAATCACAGCAACATTAAACTAATAATAATTATTAAAATCACATTTTAGTGACTTTAAAAGTTCCAGAAACCCCTTGATACTGATGGACTCCATTATTTTTGTAAGCTCCGAAATGTTGGATACGATAAGTACCAGGAACAGCATCAGGTGGAATGAACCACTGTATAATGGCATGACTGGTACAACCACCATCAAAAATGTCATCAATAACACAAAGTGGATCACTGTGATCATATTCCCATTTGAACCTGTGAAAGAGAGAGGGGGGGGAGAAATTAAATAATGTAATTTATTAATTTTGCTATATATAATAAGTATAAGTTTTCGGTAAGGCCACTCCAGTTTGATTCCTTTACCCACCTGCATGGTGCCACATCACTATTCATTAATGTGGTTTTTGCATTGATTAAAGCAGTAGTGCTGGGTGCCGGTGATATATCAATATATCAATATCGGTATCCATATTTATCAATATTAAAGAAAATTGAAGGAAAATATCAATAACGCCTAATAACAACATTCTAATTAATATTCATTAATATTATTTTAATTAATAAATATTCATTACCTTGTTTCCAAGGAGGCGTCAGTGTACATTACAATCCACTGGTCATTGTCCTCCATCTCAACTGTCAGGAATGTGCTGTTAGTCTATTAATAGTAACATGATGATGTCATTAAACTGTTACTATTAATAGGACACTATACCTTTCTGTCATTTCGTGGGTTTCCAGCCCAAAACACGACTTCGACAGTGTCGTTCTAAAAATAGAATCAATTATTTAATTCACACCTCCTCCATTAGAGTCCTTCCTTACTATTGCGTAACTTTCTTTAACATCAACTTTAACGTCACCAATCTTCTTTCCCTTCGGTTGCTTGTCAGTCAGTACTGGCAGAATGAAAGACTTTTGTTTTGAATAATGATCAGGAGTGGGAGGACCTTTATCAAGACCAGTCGCATTCTATACGAGAGAGAGAGTTTTAAAAATTATAATTATTTAATATGTCTGCTTACATTGTTAGCTATAGCAAAAGCAAGTTTACTGAACTCTTGTATGTATGCATCTAAAGTGTGAGGTCCAAATATGGTGGAACCACCTTCATATCTTTGTTGCTGTAAGGTAGAATGATAGCAAAATTGTAGCGGATAATCAGATAAAATTTAATGGAGGTTTCATCAAGGAGTACCTGGTACTCATAGTAGGTTGTGACGTAGTCTGAATAGGTATTGGATAGTCCGGCTATCACTGGAATGATGTCAGAGTGACCAGCAGCATTGAATATCTAATGATAACAATGAAACATGTAAGACAGTTTGCTCTTCTCTCTCTCTCTCACCTTCTTCACAGCATTCTTTAGATATCTTCCAGACATTGTTGTGAACTCAGCCGGTACTGCTGATATTACCAGCTGCCCGATACGGAACATCTGAAGTGGAAGGACCTTTGGGGTCCAAGGATACAGTATATTGATACCACCTTAAAAAACAACATACAAGAATAGTTATTATAAAAAGTACTAATTAGCATTCCAATCATTCCAATCACCTGTGTCCAGCAGGATTGGTTTGGGTGCTTGACATTCCTTGTCTTCTTTTTTTGGCTCGTGGAGTAAGTGACC